TGGCAAGGCAGAATAGAGTCAGGCAGGGAATCAAAGCAGAGAGACAAGGAGAAGAAGGCAGAGTCAGGGGAAATGCTGAGCACTGCTGGGGGAGCAAGATGTAATGGAACACAGGTAACACCACAAAGTCATGTGGTAAAACAGATTAATTGAAATGGGTTGAATTGTTGTAAGAACTAGTTAATGATAAGCCTGAGCCATAGGCCATCAGTTTGTAATTAACATAAACCTCTGTGTATTTACTTGGGATCAAGCGGCTGCGGGACACAGGAAAACTTCCAGCTACACCACATCTCTGTTTAAAATGCTGCAAGCTCTCGGACCTTGGCAGAAGTGAACATCATGGTTATAGAGAAATAGAATGTTGCAAGTTGGGAGCCAAAATTTTCTTGGACTGCCTTAGGCCTTTCATGCACTTTGAACCTTTGCATCTGACTTAAAACCCTCATGACTATTAGGTAAAGCATAGGGATGTATCTTAAAGCATAGCAAACTGTTAGCCTCCAGTAACCCAAAGCTAAGATGCGCTAACAGTTGAAACCTATATAAAATGTCCCCATTCTGCTGTAGCTCACCTGCTTGGCACTCCACTGATGCATTGATAAATGTGTTTACTTATGACCTCCCTTCCTCTGTGTCATGGAGTAACTTGAGTTTGTGTTCCCTGGCCAGGGTAAATAAACAGTGTTCCTATATCCTTGAAAGCAGAGAGGTATATTTTTCATGTTGATGCTAGTGACTGGTTTAGGTGTGGGAAGTCTGCCTGAGGGCTTCTGAGAAAGGTTTTCCTGCTGATAAAAAGATACATGAAAAGTGGTGGTCCTGACTTGTGCTGGATTCTGTGTGGCTGTGACCCCTGGCGTCATCCTCTGGGTGTCAAAAGTGAAAAAAATGGAAAAAGATCTGGGTCCCTGAAGTCAGTGAGAAGTTAAATGAATAAACTGTAGAGGTCACTTCTCACAGTTTTTGTTTATATGAGATAATACCTTCCTTTTATTGTGGAAGACAGTTGAATCTGAAATGGAGGGGTTTAATTGTAGGAACATTGGAACAGCAAACAGCACCCTTTCATATTGCTGAAGCTCAGAGACATCAGGGTTAGATTTGAATTTGGAAATCATGTATAAAGAAATATTGCATAAATAATATGTATTAATTGGCATTACTATAACAAAATATTTGAGATAATCAGTCTATAAAGCAGAAAATTCATTTTCATCATGATTTTGGAAGTTTCGGTCCAGGGTTGGCTGAGTTGCTGCTTTGGAGCCTATGACAAGACAGTCTATTCTGAGACACTTGGCAGAGGAGGCAGACAGAAAACGGAGAAACTGGGGAAGGGCTGAAGTCCCAATGCCCCCATTTCCGGTGACCCAGTTTTGCTAGGATCCATATCTTAGATGTTCTTCCACCTTGCAATAGCTTGACAGACTGATGACCAAGACCTTAAGGCACCTGGGTCTCCACGGGGATGCTTATCCAAACCACAGCATTGCACATCTTAGAAAATGGTCTTCTATTTGGGGAAACTACTTCTGTGCTTGAGGAATTGTGATGATATAATAAAACATTCCACTCACAATTGAATATGGCCATAATTGAATATGGCCATAATTGAATATGGCCATAATTGAATAGGGTCATAGGTTCTCACCTATGACCAAATCCTGGACCAGGAAATCACAGAGGTGTTATTAACTGCCTGGTGAGGAGAGCTCATGAGAAAGTGGTTTTAACATCTGAATCCCCAGAGGCTGCTTGGCTTAAGCCTGGGTTGTGTGGACCTTGGTAGTGATTTGCTCATGACAACATGAGTGTGATGTCTTTGAAAGCGGGTTATAAGCAGCTTGAACTTTATTGATTCTCATATTGTCCAGCAAGTTATCATCCCAGCTTGATTATGATCTCTTCTAGATATTGTTGGAGGAAGTGTATGTAAAATGAAGCTGCAGTTATGTTGAAGATCCCACAGACTGTTCGACCTTGGTTGAGTAGAGCATCCAGGTGGTTGTTGACAGTGTAATGCCACAGGCTGGATGCCATAATTACCTTGGTATATCTCAGTCTCTCTAATAGCTGTTTGCCTTCAGGCTCTGTAACTGACCTAATCTCCTCATAACTACTGGGTAAAACTCTTGGAATGCAATATTAAGTTTGACAGACCCCTACCAAAGCTAAAGCTGAGAATCTCTAAGATAACATTCGATATTAACAGGAGGGAAGATACTATGGTCAAGAAAGTTGTCTCCCAAGACAAGACTTATCCTTTGCACCTGGGAGGTGCTGAGCCAAGATTTCCCCAAATGCAGGAAAGTTGACTGCATACTTTGTGGTAGTGGGAGATTGTGTTCATATGATCTCCCATTAATTAAAAAGAAAAATAACACGTGAAACCAATAGAAAATGTTTCTGTTCTTAGATATAGCTCACCTATCTGATGCCCTACTTTACTTATCAAATATATTGATTTATGACTTTCTTGGTGCTGTGTCTATAAAAGTTTGTTTATCCTTTTCCATGGCAGAATATGTCATTCAAGGTACGTTGAACTAATGTTTCCAGGTCACTCATATTCGGCTCAAAATGAGCAATTTTCTCATGGCCTTTTATGCAGAGCTCTTCTTTTTTGTCAACAGCTCTGGTCTAATGCTACAAGACCCGGGTGAGGAAACCCAGCCAGGCCTGTCCAGAGTCTTCACGGACCCTCAGTGCAGCTGTTCCTCCTCCTGGATTAGGGCAGGTTCCTTCCCGGACTAAGGATCATGTGACTGACTAGTGACAAGGAAGGGCAGGTCTTTATGGCCACGAGTATATAGAAGAGGGGGGACGTTATCAGCACATTTTCAGGTTTCACGTTGTCTTCTCGGAAGAGGCGATCCAGACTTTATGGCCTGCCCTGGGAAAACGACTTCCGGTTTCTATACCCCGCCCCGAGGAAGCAAGGGCAAGGGCAGTAACAAAGTCAGAGGGTCTAGAAAAGAATTTGTCTCTGCTCTCCTTCCATTTCAAAGTTTTCTGAGCCCTACCAATACCTGGTGGGTGACTCTGTAGAAGCCCTGTAGAGACAAGGCTACACAAAATACATACCACAGGCAGGCAAAAAAACCAAAACAAAAAACAAAAATTAAAACAAAAACAAAACAACACAAAAAAACAGGCATGGTAGCTTGTGCCTGCAGTCCCACTACTCAGGAGACAGAGGTCAGAAGATCAGATGTTCAAAGTCATCCCTGGCTAGATAGCAAGTTCTAGGCCAGTCTGAGTTACACGAGACCCTGTCTCCAAAAACAATTTAAAAATGCCATGGAAAGCCTGGCGGTGGTGTCGCACGCCTTTAATCCCAGCACTCGGGAGGCAGAGGCAGGTGGATCTCTGTGAGTTCGAGGCCAGCCTGGGCTACAGAGTGAGTTCCAGGAAAGGCACCAAAGCTACACAGAGAAACCCTGTCTCGAAAAAACAACAACAAAAAACCATGGAAGGTCAGATGGGCATTGTGTGACACAGTACCTTTAATTCCAGCACTTGGGAGACAGAGGCACACAGATCTCTATGAGTTTGAGGATAGCCTGTAACACAAAATCTTAAAAGGTCCTATTAATTAAAAAAAAATCCAGAGCCAGATATTGGGGTGAAAACTGAGAGATCAGGGGAATAGAACAAGCCAAGCCACAAGTTCTTACCGCTAGGAAATCCTCAGCCCAAGAGAGCTACTTCCTGTATACTCACGCCTTATATACCTTTCTGTGCCCTGCCATCTTACTTCCTCTCTCTGCCCAGCTACATCAACCTCCTCTTTCCCCCCAGCTCTATCACTTCCGGTCTATCTGTACAGATCTCCAGACCTCTATGGTTAACTAGTGCTGGGATTAAAGGCTTGTGCTACCATGCCTGGCTCTGTTCCCAGTGTGGTCTTAAACTCACAGAGATCCAGATTACTTTCTGCCTCCCGAATGCTAGGATTAAAGGTGTGTGCTACCCCTGCCTGACCTCTATGTTTAATATAGTGGCTGGCTTTTTCCTCTGATCCCCAGAGAAGCTTTATTGGGGTGCACAAATAAAATATCACCACAGTAGCCTGGTCTACATAGTGAGACCCTGTGCACCCCCCACCCCATCCTGCAAAACCATGCAACCTCAAGGAAATAGCAAAGGCAGGGTAGAGCCTCTAGCTACAAGCAGAGCTGTGGTTAGACCATCCTCTTTCAAAGCACTAATTATAAGACACTGGCTTACAGGTCTGTCACTTTAAGAAAATACAGTCAGGGTCTAGGGAGATGTTGCAACCTTATTGCTGAAAAAAAAATTCTTTTGAAAGCCCATTTATACAGAACTTTCCCAGAGTCCTATCTTAGTGAAACATGATATTCACGGTGAAATGGACACCTTACCCAAGACGTATTGCCCAATGATTTATAGATATCATTCTAGAGTTTGAGCTTGAAACTGTAAAACTCCTTTGCAATAAAATAAAATAAAAAGAAGGGAAGAAAGAAAAAGATGTTTTAGGGACAGCAAGGTGGATGAGCAGGTAAAAGTATTGTTGGACAAACCTAGTGACCTGGAGTCCATCTCAGAAGCCCACCATTGAAAGAACCCATCCCCAAAGCTGTTCTGTGAGCCCTGCAAACTCTTGGTGGCATTCACATGCCCCAGTACTCAAACACACATCATAGATGCATAAGAATAATTTTTAAAAGACGTTTTAATGAGCTGGAAACGCAAATGGCTAAAGTCAACCCCATAGTTATTTAGACGTGTTAGCTAGGAGCTGGTGATGTGGCTTGGAGGGTGAAGGAAGGTATTGCCGCCAAGCCTGATGACCTGACTTTGAACCCTGGAGCCCACATGGTGGAAGGGGAGAACCAATTACTGCAAGTTATTTCTCTGACCTCCATGTGCGAGCCCTGGTAGCATGTCACCGGCCCGCCTTGTGCACCATAAATAAATAAAAATATATTTAGTTTATTTTCAAGAACTGAATACCAGGTTTCACACTATTGTTTGTAGGTAGAATTTGCAAATGGCTAGGACCAAGGACAATATGTAAAGACGACCAGGTTGTAGGGTGGAGGCGAAATGAGTTGTGAACTGGGAGGGAGAGACACACACCAGTGTTCCTCCTAACTCAATGGAGTCTTAAACCTGTTTTTATGACACCGAGGTTATGATAACCCAGAGCTGGTGCAAACCAGGAGAGGATGCCCAATGTACGAAAACCAGACCCCGAGAAAAGCATAAGCATCTTTGAATTATCTGAACGCGACGCTGCTAAAATCCCAACTGCCTCCTCCACCTCCCAGCCCAGGCTGCAGGCCAAGATTAGGGCAGACGAATCGCTCTTTTAAGGGTGAAGTCCAGCTGCGCAGTCCAGCCGTGTGACCTTGCCAGGCCGGCAGACGTTTTTGGAAGAGGCTGGTGGAACATCTCAGTCGCGCCTCTCTGGGGGTGCAGCGCCACACCCACCCTGCCTGCGGCCCATGGGCTCCGGAAGGGTGGGGTAGGGGGTGGGGGTCGTACCAGCCCCGCCCGGCCGCCGCAGGCTGCGCATCTCCGCAAGCTCCCGGCCGCGTCCTCCCCGGGCGCCGCGCCGCGCTGATTGGCTG